ATGCGTCATTCCCGGCCTTCGCGTCGGGGTCCGGACACTCTCTTGCAAAATGACCGTGTTCTCCACACGCGTAGCACCGCATCTCGGCGCTATCTGCCCGGCCAGCCCACGGTCTCTGGTCATTTCTGGCCTGCTCCGTCTTCACCGTCGTCTCTGCCGGCACCGTCCTACGTATCACCGCTCTCTGCTTCTTTCGCTGCGGCAGAGGCTCCGGCACTTCTTCCTCCGAGTTTTCGCTGGATTCCTCCACCGGTAGCGTCACTCGCACCTTCGCCTTCTTATCACCACTGCGTTTACCTCCCTGTCGTTCGCCCCACGTTACTCGTGTCGAGTGCTTACTTGCTGGTTCCCAATAACGTCCATTCCAGAACCTGCCCTCAGGGACGTCCCACGTACCGGTGAACTTATTGTAGACGCCCTGAGGGTTACTGAAGTACGCGATCTCCGCGCCTTCCGTGCCCGTCTCCGCCGCTACTCCGTCTGCCATGCCCGCTGCACCCGTACCGACGCCCGGGATGATCGCGACTCGTCCCGTCGTACCGTCCATAGGCACCGCGAACGCGTTCGGGGCGGTCGCCCACGGCTGCCCGATATTCACCATGCCGCGCGCCACGTTGTCGATTGGGTCGTCAATAGCTGTGGTCTTGTCCACAGCTTGCTCCAGTGTCGTCGGCGCCGGCGCGTGTTTCACCAGCATCCTCGTCGTCTTGTCCAGGTTGCGGTAGAATTGCGCCAGCAAGGTGTGCTCACTGACGTGGTTCTGTCCCGTGACTGCCCGCAGCCCGGCCGCGAAGTCGGCAAACGTTTCTGCCGGCCACATCATACGCTGGTACACCCTCCATTCGGCTATTGCCTGATCCGGCCGCTCACCGTACCTCCGCATGAGTGCCGCCTTTAGATGCGTCCAGGTTTTTTCGTCGTCTTGAAGTTCTTGGCTCACTTGAACCCACCAGCTCGCCGCGTTGTCTTGTAACTTGTTTCCCACAATGAAGTATAGCTCTCTATCCGTCCAGTCCCCACGTCCAGAGATCCTCGCCCCTTCAATCGCTAGGTCCACTTTTGCGATCCACGTCGAGACAGAGATGTTTGGCGACGGCTTGTACACCATCAACTCCAAGTCCTTCGCGTTCTTGTGATGGTGTCGTCCACGGCGCGACCGCCTTCCGCGTCGGCTTCCTCGGCGTCTATCCCGCCGTCCTCGTCGTCCACCCTGGCCTGCCTCGGCATCGTCACTGCTGCTGTCGTAGCTGTCGTCACCACTGTTACTACCGCTGTCGTCGCTGCTATTACTCCCATCGCTTCCATCCGGGGCGGGTGCCCGTCGAGATGCTCGTGCTGCCGCCGTTTTCGTCCTGGATCTCGCTGCTTTTGCTGACGTCGCTCTTGAGGATCGCTGCGAATCAATGTGCTGCGGCACGATCATCGTATCGACGGACCGTAGCGTGTTGGTTGGTCCGCTCGCTGGCATGGACACTCGTCGCGGCGCCGCCTGAGCGCTCTCCATGCCGGCTACCCGTGTCTCCAGTCGCGTCACCGTCGTGATCATCCTGTTCAGCGTGGCCATGAGTGCTGCGTCCCTGTCGCCATCACTCGCTGCCTCTGTGGCAGGTGCCTGTTGCGGTGCATCTCCCGCTTCTGTCGTGGCGTCCGTCGTCCTTCCTGTAGTCGTCCGAGCTTCCGGTGCCGTCCGGGTCGTGTCCGTGCGTCTCGGCGTGCGCCCTCACCGCGTGGTCATACCGCCGGTCACCACCGTCCGTCGCGTTTTTACCATTGGATCCAGTAACCTTGTAACAGCTCCTAATTGTAACCCGTAACACCTGCTGCTCGTACGTCTCGTCGCTTACGTATGCGTACTTGTGCTTGTAGTTGTCGTTCGTGTTCTTGACTTCAGCCCCTGTATGACCACCATGTAACGAGTCTGAATTAGTTCCCCTGCTCGCCGGGGTTTGGTCGACAGTGCCGATCCGCAAGTCCAAGTCCGCTGGCTGACGAGGACAATTCGAGTCACTCGCGGCGGTGAGTACCCAACTGGTAGCTACACCTATTTATTACGTCCGTTCAACTTAATACACTCTGCCTACAGCCACTACCAGTAGAACGTTTCGGTAGACTCTGCAAGTTCGTGTTCCGTCCGTCCAATCCGCACTCCACGTCCAGGAACTGCTAGTAGCTCGTCTCAGCAGACACCGTCCGCTTCGCACTCGTCCGTCCAGGTCGACGCTCTCCAACGTCGAAAGTTGTAGGATCTGCTAGCTCGGCTGCCGAATCCAAAGTGAGAGCGCCGAACCCGTCCGTCCTTCCGTCCACCCAATAACTTTCCACTAAATCCTGTCGATCCGAGCTTCGGCAGCCGACGCCAGCCTCCGCACGGATCTTCAAGCCTACTTACCTCGCCTAATTACCACTCCGTCCGCCCATCTGCCAGTCAACCGGCCACCGTCTCCGTTGCGTGCCACGAGATGCCAACTGCCCGGCCCCCGTTACAAACCTTTACGACGTTGTGGTGAGTCCGGATGTAGTGTCCAACTGGGAGTTCGAGAACATCGCCGTGAATGCCACGAGCGTTGGCCAATGCAGCGGCGGACCGAGCAACCTTCACTGCTAAGCACTGACTTGGCACACGCTTCTCACATACCGTTGCACAAATAATACTTAAGAGTGCAAGCCTTATATTTTCAGATTTCAGTTGATTGAATAAGAAGAGCTGCTGGTAGCAAGAAGAGCTCAACGCGTCTGCCTAAATTCCTTGTTCGACAGGGACTTTGACTCATGGAACGTGAAATCGCGAAGGTAAGGCGTAGTCAAACCCAATGGATGGGTAAAAATGTACTGGAGGGCGTTGCAAAGAAGAGGCACTATGCAAAACACTATGTCTTGGAACGTAGCAGTATGAAGTACATGTACTGTACTTCAAATAAACGAAGTGATACAGTACTACATGTACTTTAAAATAAACTGAACTTGCGATATTGATTATTACTTGGCGCAGCCTGCGCTACCATGCCAACACGCTTCAAAAGCCGCAACTTCTCGAATTCGAAGCGCTTTCAGATCAAACGTACACCCCGTTACGGCTCGGGAAGCGGTAAACACCTTTACCGGTCCCGTACTGTACTGTACCTACAGTAGTAATAATACATGTGGTATGTACCCTCCCCCGACTCGGGGGCACGTGAAATTCGTACATGTATTGAAGGGTAAGCTTTGACTGTGTGCGCCTTCACAATCGTGACGATTATCGTCCGCGTGGGGACTCGGAGTCCCCACGCGGACGTTTTGAGGTGGGGTGGGGAGTCCGACTCCCCACCCACCTCAAAACCGTCTTGACGACCGAACAACCTTCGTGATGGACGGCCACAGCGATGGGTTTAGACAGTCCACTCTTCAAAAAGTTGCCTGCTTTTCGTCCTAAGGTGAGCCTTTAGCCAGCCTGTAGGCCACGAATTATGTCCGATGTGCCATTCCCATGTGGAAACCAGCAAGTCACTTGCTACTTGCTTACCAAGTGGCGCTCTCGTTTTAGTTTGTACAGATGTGCTCGTGACACTCAAGTCATTCTTCGATTTACCTTGTGGCAAACAAGAGCCCATTTCCGTTGCAAACGACTTCACACTCGATATGAAGGTGCTCGCGTCAACTCTCGCCATTCTCGCCCTTGTGGCGGCCATTGCCAACGGAGATGACGTGGACCAAAGTGAAGTCGCCCAACAGTTCCAGGGAAATCAGGACTACGAGGTGGGGCAGGTATCTCCTGCAAGTCAGGTTGGTCAAGACTCCCCGTATCAGGTGGACCAGGACGATACGTGCACGCTGACCGGCACCTACATCAATGGTACCGACGTCTCTCAATGCAGCACTATCATCATTGACTCGCTCTCAGTGCCCGCTGGTGTGATGCTTGACCTGACTAATGTCACGGACGGCGCCAACATCAAGTTCCAAGGAACATCGACTTTCGGAACCGAGGTAAGAACGCACAGCTCATCAAGGTGCCACTCAAACTAAACATCTAACTCTTCTTGCTGTACTGTAGTTGTGGGCAGGCCCGCTAATTAAGCTCACGGGAAATGATCTCACTGTGACTGGACCTGGAACGCTTGATGGTCAGGGATCGTGGTACTGGCCGCAGGGTCAGAACATCACCCGGCCGGTGTTCTTCCGCCTCAGCAGGGTTGCCAACTCGAAGCTGTCGGGCTTCACTATCCAGAACATGCCGTTCCGCACCTTCAGCATTCTCAGCTCGAACTACACGACGATCTCCGAACTCACGATCGACTCCCGTGCCGGCAACGGCAGCGCCAAGAACACGGACGGCTTCGACCTGAGCAGAAATAACCACGTGACCATCTCAAACAACCGAGTGTACAACCAGGACGACTGCCTCGCTATGCAGTCCAGCTCGAACACAATCTTCAGCAACAACTACTGCAGCGGCTCGCACGGCATTTCCATCGGCTCGTTGGGTGGCCCGGAGCAGAACGTCAACACAACCGTCTCTGGTCTGCTGGTCAAGGATAACACGATCGTGAACAGCACAAACGGCATCCGAATCAAGACCATCATTGGGCTGAAGGGACTGGTGACCAACGTCACCTACACTAACAACAGGCTCGTCAACGTCAAGAATGCTATTGTCATGCACTCAGATTACAACAAGACCAAGGGCGGGTACTCGGGAATCCCTTCTAGTCTGGTTAACATCACAAACATCAAGATCGATGGTCTCTTCGGCACGGCCACGAACCTGTACGATATTGTAGCCAACCCAGCCGTTGTGTCCAACTGGGAGTTCAAGAACGTCGCTGTTAATGCCACGAACGTTGGCAAGTGTAACGGCGGGCCGAGCAACGTGCAGTGCTAAGGAGGAGTTGAGTTTTTTTGCCGTTCACATTAAATGACTGTTACGGGTGGGGCATCTGTTCCACTTCCACTTCAACTTGTGGCTTGGTTTTTGTAAGCATGCGCATGGGATCTTGAAAGGTCATTCACCGGATCTTCGTATGAGTCGCTTACGGGCCGTCGCGGCGCTGGCCACAGCCTTCTCGGCGTTAATGACGGTGGTCATCGCGTTTGCCATCGCACAAGCCAACCACGTGTACGTGGGCGGGCTGGCCTGGCCGTTTCTCTCGGACTTGGGGCGCGGTGCGTCGTCGAGCAGCAAAGTCAGTTGATAAAGTAAGCTCACGTAATCGTCGTTGACATTCAGATCCACCCGGTTCGTACGTGCTCTTCTTGGGCCTCAACGTCGTGGCCGTGCTGCTTGGACTCACGTGGAGCTTCAACCACGAGTATAAACAGCGATTCCTGCAGCAGAGTCTGGAGAACGGCCAGGTCTCGCACGGTCTGTGCTCGCTGTCGTTTGTGAGCTGTATCTTCGGCGTCGTTGGCGCCTTCGGGCTCCCAGTGTTCGCGTCCTTTAATGCCTCGCCGACGCTGCACTATAACTCGGCCTTCGGATTTCTGCTCTGCGAGACAGTGGCCATGTTTACCAATGTATGGGGATGTATTTACTCGTTTGCGGCCATGCAGCTAACGTGTGTGTGTGTTTTTTTTTCGTGTCCATTGGTAGACCTACTTGAACTACCAGATATTCCTGGTGAAGCGCGCCGAGATGGATGCCGGAGTGTTTATCACCGACCGATATGGCCCGCGCAGCGTCTCCCGAATCAAGATGGGCGAGTTACAAGCGGCCAAGCGTGGCTTCCTCATCGAGCTGTCCTGCGTGGCCGTCTACTCCATGTGTGTGCTGGTCTATCTGCCTGTGTTATACAACGGTGCCGACGCTCCGCATCTCACGATCAAGCAGGTAGACGCCAACTCGAGAGAAATTACTGAATACTCGAAGCATAAGCTGACTTGGGTTGTATTATACATGTAGTGTATTGCTTTGAAGCTTGGAGAAAACTACTGCAGCTCCACCATGCGGCTCGACGATGTAAACACGAAGCTGTGGGACTACGGTAAGCTTTAAGAAATGATGTCTCAGTTTACCCGCTAATTATGTGTGGTTCTAGAGAAAGATATTGCCGTGCATCAAGTGCGCGCTCTGGCGCAGCTCGGGTGTATGCTGACGCTCATCGGGTACACGCTGAGCTTCTTCGCCGACAACAAGGACGAAGAGACCCTGAAAGACACAGACCGCACGGAAGCCACCATCATTTACTACCAACACAGTGCCTCCATACCTGGAATCCGAAGTCCACGGAAAGCTCGTCGAACCAGCTCGCGGCGGAGTAAGTCCACTTCCAGTTCGGTCAGTGAGCCATCCAAGCATTCCAGTGAGTTTCGCTGATAATGTCCACAGAACGAACAAATTCTGCAGTGATGGAAATACACAAGTTGTCGAAACTCCCACGTGTCGTTCTCGAAAGTCGCCATGGTCCACTACACATTTCTGCCTTGAAACGCCGCGTCTTCTCAGATTCCCTGCCATCATGGCGTTCCCGTACCCAGTACACACGCGCGTGACGGCGCGCAATGTCGACAAGATCCAACTCGAACGCCGACGACAGGAGTCGGAGCACAACGCGCTGCACAAATTCGCACAGGGAAACCAGTTGCAGACACTGCAGAACCAGTCAGACGCCACTGTGGCATCCCGTCGCCGCATGAACCACGCGGCTCAACTGTCAGCCGAACGGATGCTAGAGGAGTCGCATGCTCGGAAGATTAGTGAGCGGCAACGCGCCACTCGAGAGCGTCAGCAGAACGAGGCGCTTGCCCACGCACTCGAAACCAGCAAAAAGGCCCAGGAGCAGCAAGAGCGAGACGTGCAGCGCATCTGTGAAGCCAGCGAGGAACTGCGCGAACTCGAGTCGTTCCTCCGTACGGCCTACATGAACAAGGAGCGGGCCACGCAGCAGCTTGAGCGTGAGACGCTGACCGCTTTGGATCGTCAACGTGAAGCTGCGATAGACCACCAAATGGAGTACGATCGTCAACGCGCTCTCGTGGATATGCAGAACCATGAGTTGAGGAAGCGCGTCGAGGCCGAACAGGGTAAACAAGTGCTCCAGTCGCAAATGCTGCAGCGCCAGGAGCTCCGCCGTGAAGCGCAACTTGACGCAGACTTTGAACGCCTCAAGATCGAGCAGCTCATGGAGCAGGTGGAACAGGAAGATGCGGCCGAGCTCGCGCGTAGAGAAAAAGCTCGTGATCAGACCCGTGAGATGATCGAGCAAACGCATCGGGAGCGCGAAAGGGCGAAGCAGGAGCAAGTTGAAGCTGTTCGACGGGAGGACGAGGCTATCGCAGATTACCAGCGACAGGTGCAGGCACGCGAGGCGGGCATTAAGGCGGCGTCGGACGTCAAGAAGGCGCAGGAAGACGCCATGTTCCGCGCCGTCGAGGCCGAGATCCAGGCCAAAATGCGCGAGGAAGAAGAAATCGAACGTCTGCGTGACGAACTCTGGGAAGAGGAACTGCTCCAGAAGAAGCGTGCGCAGGAGGAGGAGAGGATTGCCGCCAAGCAGCAGGCCAAGGAGGACATGATGCGCAGCAACGATATGCAGATGCAGCTGAAGCAGGAACTGCTGGCCCGCCAACGCGCCGACGAAGAGGCCTTCAACGAGATGCTCAGGGAAAGGTTCCGGTCCGAGGAACGACGCGAGATGGAGCTGGCCGCTTTCCGCCGAAAGCAGCGCGAACAGTTCGTCGAGGAGATCGCACGGCACCGCGCACTCAAGCAGGAGATGGTGTACGCCGAGCTGCAGCGCGAACGTCGCGAGCGGGAACGCCAGGAACAGGACGAGAACTACAGACGCCAGGTGGTGGAGGCAGCCAAACAGCGACTACTGCGCGAGCACGCCGAGGTGTTGCAAGGGTATCTGCCGAGAGCTCTGCGACCTTCTTCATCGTCTTCTTCCAATGGTGCGATCTTCCGTTAATCCGTTGAGCATTTCTAAAAGCATACAAATCTCCATTCATGAGTATGTTACACCTTTTGAGACCTCGTCCAGCCAACAACTTTATTGTTTTCTTCGGTATCTGCCAAGCAGTTTAACGATTGAATGCTACAAAAGAATCCTTAGTCAGCCAAACCAACACAAATTTTAAGAAGAGAGCAGCCGCTCACCTGCTTGTTGGCGTCGTAGTGGCAGTCTTGGGCTGCCGTGTGACGCTGCTTAAGTGATAATGGAGCTTGGTCGACCGTCTGACCCGCTTCTGCCTGCTAGCTTATCTGTAGATCTTGAGCGCGCGGTCCATGGAGGTGGAAGCCAGGAAACTCGAGTCGGGCGAGAACTGGACGCTCGTGACGGCAGCCTTGTGGTCGCTCAGCGTCTTGACCACTTCCCAGTTGTTCTTGCTCACCTCCTTCAGCACCTGAATACTCTGCGCGCTAGCAACAGCGAGGTGAGAGCCACTGGCGTCGAAGTTGATCGAGTGGATGGCCCCCAGCTTAAGCTTGGGCTGCTCCTTTTTCAGATTCAGCTCGAAAAAGCTTGTGGCCTTGCGCAGATCCCACAGCTTCACCACGCCATCCTCGCTTCCGGACGCTAGATGGTAGCCATTCTCCGAGAAGCCCAGCGCCGTCACTGGTGCAATGTGGCCCTCAAAAGTCACGACGTTGGAGAGAGAGTTTACAGCCCACATCTGCACCAATTTGCTCTTAGCCGCCGTACCGAAGATGCCGCCATCCGGATGGAAACGAGCGCAACGCGCCTCATTCGCCGCCTTCTTAGGCTTGCCGGTCGAGGCATCGGGCATGGCCAACTCGCCATTGAGCGTGTAGCGCGAGAGCAGGTGGCCCCGACGCACATCATGGATAGCCCACGTCGCATCGAGTGAGCCAGACAGGACGTAGTTTCCTGTCGGGTGGATGGAGGAACTGGCCACGGCGTCGTCAAAGCCGTCGAGTGTGTAGCCGACGCCATATCCTTCTTCCTGCACGGTCCAAAGCTTCATTGTCTTGTCGTGTGAGGCCGTGAGTACCATGTCGGCCGTCGGGTGGAACTCCACATGGCTGAGCTTCTTGGTGTGGCCTGTCAGTGTGGCTACAAGCTGCTGCTTTTCCGTGTCGAAGATCTTGGCGTGCTTGTCCACACCGCCCGTGGCCACAAGCGTCGGCCGCTTACTGTCGATGGCCACGCACGTGACGCCAGGCTTGTCTGAGTCGTGAAGCGTATGGCTTGAGGACATTTTCCAGTCGGCCAGACCACTGAGCAGCGCAGCCCGCTGTGGGCCGTCTTTCTTCTTAAATTCCTTGCGCTTCTTGGCCAGTTCTTTCTGCTTGGACTCAACGGTGGCCAGCACTTCGGGGGCGAGCGCGGCGCCGTTCTGCGCGCCGTCCTGCATATCCACGTCGTCCTGCTGGCCCGAAGCCAACTGCGTAATGCGCTCCTTCAGCGTGGCATTATCTGCGTTCAGACGCGCGATGACGCGACAGGCAGCGTCGTGCTGGTAGAGCGCGTGGCTCAGCTCCTGGCGCGTCTGTTCCAAATGCTGTTTGAGCGTGAAAGTCTCGAGCATGACAGCGTCCCACTCGTTCTGGAACGTGGCCAGCAGCTGCGGAATACTGGCGGCCTCGGGCGCGAAAGCCGCAACCTTAGCCGACGCGGCCGAAGATTTGGCCGATGGGGCCGCCTGCAGCGCTAGTAGATCCTGCTCAGCGTCCAATTCATCGCCCGTAATGGGGCAGCGCTGCTGGTTCTGCTCTAAGTACTTGAGCAGTAGACGCTTCTCGAACACGTGGCCCGACTTGAGCGACACCACGGGCTCCACAGGCACCTGGCCACTAAGACTGCACAGCATCGTTTTTTTTGTGTGTTGCCAACGGGAGGATTTAGGGCGAATGAATGGCCAGCGATCATTTCGGTACGTTTAACTTTATTTGAGTATTTCAATAATGAGCCCATTTCATTTGCGCTTGACGGAAATGTGCGCTGCCTCCAAGGGCAACTGCATCATGCTCGCGTTAAGCGTCAACCGGTCAAGCTGGAGCTTCAAAGACATGTTAATCTCTTGACGAGAAGACTTCGAAGGACGGCAATCATCAGATGAATTTACGTGCGCTCTTAGTGTTGACTTTCTCCGTAAAGACTCAACCATCTTGGATTTCCAGTAGCAATTTTAGACCAACCTTGCGGCCGATAATTTACAGAAAGTGTCCTACAAATTGTAGGCTACAACCGCGCGCCAGGAGTGCGTTAAGAGGTACCAAGCAGATGTTCAAATCAATTTCTTGACACTGTCATGGTTTGTACGCGAAACTGGAAAGCAGCATTCACCACTGCGCAACCGTAGTATGCGCTGGTTGGAGTCTTTTGTGACGGTGTTGAGAATTTGGACATTATACCAGGTATTTGAATTGATAGGACCGAACTCTCCACGTGCCTCTCTCGGCTAAAGTAGATCAGTTGAAGCATTGCACGCTGGAAGGTTGCAACTTCATGACACTTGAATCGGATTTAGGCGCAGCGTCTATTCACAAGGCCATTCCGCGAACCGCCGCGATCTTGAGGTCGGGTGAAGCACATGTCAAAGGCGAGTGGGAGGACGAAGATCACGAAGTAATATCTGCATGGTGTCGTCTTGGAACACAAGAAAACGAAGGCAAGCGCCTCGGGGACGCGCTCTTTCGCATTTCTGGCTGGTACTTATCAGCACTTTGGCGATTTTCAATGGTGTACAACCAACAAATTCTACAGGCGAGGTCATAATTTCAATGAACACAGAAGCCGGCTTTTTCACGGCGTCAGTGTTGCATCTACAACCAAAGCAGGTAGTGTCTATGGCTTTGGATCGCGCGTCTGCGTTGCTGGTCGACGCTCGGCTGGACGTGCAGAGCGTGAGCATGCACTTCCTCGTTGGAGCGACTTCGTGCTGCTGCACCGCGTGAAGAGCGATGGTGGATGGCAAGTGTCGGGCGAGTTGCAGTCGAGCGATGCAAGGTGGCTAAAGACTGCGGAGGTGGCTCTGGCGCCGCGCACGGCCAAGTCTCAGACCGTGACGGTGTGGACGAACGTGACACTGGTGGACGCGGTGTCGTTGCGATCCGTGGTGGTGAGGGTCTCTCACTTGGTCCGGAGCATGCCGGACCCTCGGTCTCTGGTGTTGACTGCACTGCCTCAGCCGATCGTGGTGGAGAGCCGGGAGGACGAGGCTGCGTTGGTTTCGATGGCGGACTTGGGCGCGTTGGGCACGTCGCCGGACAGCTCCGCGGTGTGGTCGGAGTACTGGTCGGTAGACGTGGAAGTTCGCGGGCGCGACATGGACACGGCACTGAGCGCGTTGGTCTTCGACGGCATGCAGGCCGACGTACGGACGCGCGGTGGCGGTAGCGTGTCGAATGTGGCTTTGTCAACGCTGGCGTCAAACGGATCGGACGGGTCGGCAGCAGGCTTGCTGCAGGTGTACCCGGTGGCGTCATTCTCGGGTGTATTCCGTGGTTCTTTGGTGCTGGTGTTCCGGGACAAGCGGAATGCGGCACAGTGGGTGGAAGTGGTGCGTCCGCTGGCGATCTCATGGCGGCGTCGCGACCTGGACCTGTCTGTGGCGCTGCGCTCGATGGTATTCGTGAACGAGACGGTATCGTTGCCGCCGAGGCAGTTAGTGTCTGTGGCTTTGGATCGCGCGTCTGCGTTGCTGGTCGGCGCTCGGCTGGACGTGCAGAGCGTGAGCAGAGCAGTTCCTCGTTGGAGCGACTTCGTGCTGCACCGCGTGAATAGCGATAGTGGATGACAAGTGTCGGGCGAGTTGCAGTCGAGCGATGCGAGGTGGCTGAAGACTGCGGAGGTGGTTCTGGCGCCGCGCACGGCCAAGTCTCAGACCGTGACGGTGAGGACGAACGTGACACTGGTGGACGCGGTGTCGTTGCGATCCGTGGTGGTGAGGGTCTCTCACTTGGTCCGGAGCATGCCGGACCCTCGGTCTCTGGTGTCGACTGCACTGCTATAGCCGATCGTGGTGGAGAGCCGGGAGGACGAGGCTGCGTTGGTTTCGATGGCGGACTTGGGCGCGTTGGGCACGTCGCCTGGACAGCTCTGCGGTGTGGTCGGAGTACTGGTCGGGAGACGTGGAAGCTCGCGGGCGCGGCCATGGACACGTCACTGAGCGCGTTTGTCTTCGACGATGTGCAGGCCGACGTACGGACGCGCGCTGGCGGTAGCGTGTCGAATGTGTCGAATGTGGCTTTGTCAACGCTGGCGTCAAACGGATCGGACGTGTCGGCAGCAGGCTTGCTGCTGGTGTACCCGGTGGCGTCATTTCTCGGGGGATTCCCTGGGTTCTTTGGTGCTGGTGTTCCGGGAGAAGCGGGATGCGGCGCAGCCGGTGGAAGTGGTGCGTCCGCTGGCGATTTCATGGCGGCGTCGCGACCTGGACCTGTCTGTGGGCTGCGCTCGATGGTATTCGTAAACGAGAGGGTATCGTTGCCGCCGAGGCAGTTAGTGTCTGTGGCTTTGGATCGCGCGTCTGCGTTGCTGGTCGGCGCTCGGCTGGACGTGCAGAGCGTGAGCATGGCAGTTCCTCGTTGGAGCGACTTCGTGCTGCTGCACCGCGTGAAGAGCGATAGTGGATGACAAGTGTCGGGCGAGTTGCAGTCGAGCGATGCGAGGTGGCTGAAGACTGCGGAGGTGGTTCTGACGCCGCGCACGGTCAAGTCTCAGACCGTGACGCTGTGGACGAACGCTGACCACTCGGTGGACCGGCG